ACATTGTTATAAACTATCCACTTTTCGTCGCCAGTAACTAGGTTCTTCCTCGGAAATGGATCATTCTCATTGCGTTTCAGTAGCGGCGAATCACAGATGCTAATCCGTTGCGTCAAATGAATTTCCTTTAACTGGTGAGGGATCCATAAATCAAGTTTCTTGACATAACCAAGGGTTTGCAATTTTTTTTCAATGCATGTATGCGACACATTGAGCTTCTCTGCAATATCTCGTGTTGTGCTGTGACGATTTGAATCGATAATGGCCTTGATATGGGTTTCATCCACTTCGACTGGGCGACCAGGTCGTTGTGAATTTTTCAGTGAAAAATCACCGGAACGAAATCTTTCAAACCAATTTCGACACTGCCTTTCTTTTAAGGCTTCATCTCCATATACGGCACATAACTTTTTTTGTGCTTGCGATGCGTTCTTGCCTTTTCGGAAGTAATACAATAAAATGTGTCGGAAGTGCACGTCCTGTTCTTTCATTTTTAAATTGGGATAAAACAAAACTAAAGAACTAAACAAAAAAAATTTTTACTAATTAACCTAGAAGCCCATACAGTAAGAAAAAAATATAGGTTAGATGCTCTGGCCACGTTAACAAAACAAAAGAAAGTATAGAGTGAATCCGTCAACAAAAACGGCAATGACTTAGTTGCCAACCCAATACCACTTGAGATCTTTTGATGCTGAATCAATAATAGATAATAACTAATAGTTTCAATTACTCGGTAAGCAGGCGGACAAACCTGTATTAACAATTTGCTTGTTACTGAGGCTTCGGGTTGAGAGATGAGTGTTTAAACTGATTTTCTCCGCAGACTCTCAATAATTATTATATGTTTACCAAATCTCGTTTTTCTTTCCCCCACAGTAAATCCATTATCGGCCATGGGATAGATGAGCAAGACAAGAAACATACCTGGTTGGCAGATGCAGAGGCATGTGCTTCGAATGGAGCAATTGAATGCGCTCGCGCCATCTACGCTGTGGCTTTGAATCAGTTTCCAAAGAAGAAGAGCATTTGGCTTCGTGCTGCCTACTTCGAACGCAATCACGGCACAAGGTACTCTACGGCAATTTGACGTATATTGGATTTATAGATCTGAAGCTAACAATAACTTCTTCTCTTTAGGGAAACCCTGGAGGAACTTTTAGATCAGGCTGTTATTCACTGCCCTCATGCGGAGATTCTATGGCTCATGTCGGCGAAATCCAAGTGGTTGGCTGTTAGTCGATTTTTCTGCCCTATTTATTTTAATGAAATAATATATTTGTAGTTAAATTTTATTAGTAGTAGTAGTAGCACAGTAAATCCTGAAGCATTTAAAAGCCTCAGAATTGGAAAAAAGAAATGAATATTTTTTGGATTAATTCAACTTAATCCGATATGACTAATGCATTAAGCGGTTAGTAGTTCATTGTAAGGAAGAAATGTTCTCTTGGCTCCCTATTAATTTCGAGATGTGAAATTTGAATTTTCGATATCATATTTGGTGGGAAATTCCTGGGAAAAGAATGCGCAATTGACTTAAACAAAAGCAAACCATAAACTATTACGCATCTGTGTAACATGGGAGGGCCCATTCTCTTTCCGCTTATTGGCTCCGGCAGAGAAGAGGACAAGTTGTCAATTGTAACAGTGAATTTTAAATTTTGAGATGAGTTTTGCGCACGTCAAGTGTCGTGAATTATCGATCCCTCTGTGTATCAATAAAAATGCAACATTTGTACTTCTGATATAAGCGCGTTCAGGGTTCCTTCAACTGCTTCTAATACTTCCATGATCCATTTGAAATTGCAGAGTAGAAGAATGATAAGCACAGTCTGTTGAGGCAGGATATGGTAACTAGTATAAGTTGATAACAATCTTAGATTAAGTGCTTGACGAGGTATTGGAACTATTTTTGAGCAATTTTGAATAATGTAGGGTGATGTTCCGGCTGCAAGGTCCACATTAGCTCGTGCCTTCGAGGCGAATTCGAACTCTGAGGAGATTTGGTTAGCTGCAGTGAAGCTGGAATCTGAGAACTCTGAATACGCTCGCGCTCGACGTCTTTTGGAGAAAGCTCGCACCTCAGCGCCAACTGCCCGTGTTTGGATGAAGTCAGCGCGTCTTGAATGGTGTCTAGGCGACCTAAAAACAGCATCTGCCATGCTGGAAGAGGGCTGCTCAAAGTACCCCAATGCTCCCAA